TGTTTGCTTGCTCTCTGTAAATTGGGCTTTGACTCTGTGAGGGAACGTATAATATGTGCAGTCTTATTCCTTTATATGAAATTCCTCCTACGTAATATAAAGTCTAGCGTATATCACCAACAGTAGTCGAAGTGGTCAATGAAACAACTTCCATCAACAAACTCCCAATGTCTATAAGGAACTAACCCCGGCACTCAGGAACAAAACATCCTCTGCTGCTCTCTCTTACAAAAGCTATGAACCAATGCCTTTGGTTTTCTGACAAAGGAGAAAATTAGTTCAAGGACCACAAGTAAGGTGTAGGCTAAACACAGACTGGCCCTTGACATAATCCCCTCCTCTCCACCCCGACCCCTACGACCTCAGAATTGTTGAAACACATTTTGAGAATTCAGAGCTGGGCATTCTTTGTTTTCCATCACCCTGGGAAACTCTCCTCAGGCCCCTGGCAAAGGTAAAACCATCTTTATGATTTTCGCCCCTGGTATTTCTAGGAGTGACGTAACATGTACCAATGCAGACCAAAGTATGGTGAGATTGAGATAAACAATTGCGAGGTTCCGTATTGCAGTGTTTATTATGTACCAACCACAGACCAGCTATCATGCTGAGTGCCAGGGATATGACTAGGAGCAAAATGGGCACAGCCCCCGACCTCATGGGGCTTCTATTCGAGTGGGGCGGCTGTCCATACATAAGTAAACAAATACCAAATAAAAGCAGGTGCTGATTGGCTTAGTCCATTTATGCTGCTATAACAAAACGCCACAGATTGGTTCATTTATAGCAACATAAATCTATTGTTCAGTTTTGGAGGCTGGAACTTCAAGGCACTGGTCAGTCGACTCTTCAGGGAGGGAAAAATATGGGAGGGATACTCTGACATGTCTCCCCCCTTCTTATCCCCTTTGAGGAACAGTGACTCATCAGCTTGGCAAATTTGAGAGGAGAAACTGGTTGCCTGTGGCTCAGTGCATTCTCCCTAATCCAGCCTTGAAGAATCCAGGAGGACTTCTTGGAGGAGGCTATGATGGCTATGTCAAAAATGATGAGAAAAAAAGGGAGGTAAGTGGGAGATACCACCTAGGGCAGAGGGAATAGCATATGAAAATCCCTGGAGGCTAAAGGAAACATGGTTGTTTAGGCAAAAGGAAAGAAATTCTGCATGGTTAGAGTTTAGAGGGTGGGAGAGCAGGAGCTGAAGATGAGACTGGCCAAGGAGCCAGATCCTGAAGGGTCTTAATGTGCCAGACTCTGGAGTCTGGGCTTTATCCCCAGAACGTGGAGATGGATGGAAAGGTTTAATCAAGAAAGTGAAGGTATTTCATTCCTGATAGGTCATTCTGGCTGCAGGATGGAGAACAAGCAGGAGGTTGGCAGTTCCCAGCCCTCTCTGAAAATATGAGGAGGAAAGGGTCCTTTGTCATGGCTTAGAGATCTTCCTTTTGGCCCTCCTGATCCAATTGCCCTGGGCTCCAGGTCTGAGCTCCTGTCAGAGGGCCCTTTCATACACCCTAGACCAGCGGTTCTCAACCTGTGGGTCGCGACCCCTTTGGCGGTCGAACGACCCTTTCACAGGGGTCGCCTAAGACCATCCTGCATATCAGATATTTACATAACGATTCATAACAGTAGCAACATTACAGTTACGAAGTAGCAACGAAAATAATTTTATGGTTGGGTCACAACATAAGGAACTGTATTTAAAGGGCCAGAAGGTTGAGAACCACGGCCCTAGACCCAGCTCCATAACCACTCATTCCCTCCCCCCTACACGCCTACAGATGGGCACAGAGTCCCAGTGGTACTGCACAATCCCTCATAGTTTCTTTACACCCTGCTCACATATTTGTAAACAACCTCATTATTAAAATCTCCTTGAATGATCCTAATGTGAGTGTGCTAGCTGGCTCCTTCTGGGACCCTTGAGGTTATACCCTCTTCCCCAAAAAAGAAAAAAGACTATGCGGCAGTAAAAACCCTTTGAAACAGCATGGAGGCACCTGGAGAGTATTATGCTAAGTGGAATAAGCCAATCAGAGAAAGACAAGTATCACATGATCTCACTCATATGTGGAATCTATTGAACAAAATAAACTGATGAACAAAATAGATCCAGGGACATAGAAGCAGAAGCATGGAACAGACTTCAGAGTCTCCGAGGGAAGGCTGAGAGGGAAGGGGGGTGGAGGGTGGGCAGGGGACACATCAACCAAAGAACTTGTATGCGTATATGCATAACCCATGGACACAGACAAGAAGGTGGTGAAGGCCTGGGGGGAGGGGAGGGCTAGAAGAGGTCAGTGGGGGAAAGGGGGACATATGTAATACTTTCAACAATAAAGATTTTTTAAATAAAAATAATTTTAAAAAGAAAAGAAAAAAGGAAGCATAAGTGGCATGGGGAAAGCATGGAACATCCAACAACTGGGGATTTGTGTTCACCAAATTTGGTCTCTGCAGACCCCATCCTTGCCCTGATGGACCTGACAGCCTAAGAAGACTTACCTGCTCACCAACCTCTCCCCACCCCACCTCAGGCCTGGAAGCATGTCTCCCTCCTCTGAGCTCTGACAGCATTCACTGGCTGTGCAGCTAAGTGAGCACTTAGTCTATCCTCATTGCAGTTATTTGTATTCATAATTTACTACCCTATCAGGTTTTAGATTTTGGGTGGGCAAAGATTACCCTATTTTTATATAACTGCTTTATTGACATATAATTATTGGCAAGCCATAAAGTTCACTCTTGTAAACTATACAATTCAGTGGAAGATTATTTTATTTACCTTGGATCCTTTGTAGCAGTGCTTCTCCATCTTGGTTGCACATTAGAATCACCTGCAGAGCTTTAAAAAAAATACTGCTGCCTGGTCCTCATCCCCAGAGGTGGTGACTTAATTGGTTTGGGGCACAGCCAGGGTATTGAAATTTTTAATAGCCCTGGAGTGATTTTAACTTGTAGCCAGGATTGCTCTGTAGTGCTTGGCACATAACTGGCACCCAATAATTGTTGGTTGTAATCATGAATAAGCCCTAACTTCTAATATCCAGCTAAATTAACTCACCCAAGAGCTACCTTCCCTGTCTCCCTTATAGCCTATCAGCTCTTATAATGTAACATCCTACTTATGTCTACCTCTCCCACTTAGTGTGAAAGATGACTAAGAGACAAAAGCATTTAGGGAAGATGACTGATTACTTGTAAAGACCTGCAAACTTCAGTAGGATTGGATCACTGAATAAGAAACACAACAAAATACAAAAGAAATAGAACAATACAAAAGAAATATAAATGTAACATAGTCCAAATTTCTGTATTCAAAAGTCAGGGATAAAATGGCTTTAGTTAGAAATTCAGTAATTTATGGGAAAAGTTCAAGCTTTCACTCATTTTGGAGACCAGATGTAAAAGTAGTTCTGCTGCTTTGTTTATGTCAGGGCTGAAAGCGTCTTGTCATTGTTTTTTCTTCCTGTGGGACTTGATGTTCACTGTTAAAATGGTGGCAGGGCAGTCTAATTTTTGTTTCCACAGCTGTGAGCAGCATGAAGGCTGGGACTGTTCCAGTTTTATACAGAATGGCATCCCAGTGCTGGCACATGTTAGGTGTTCAATAAATATTGGTGGAATGGATATGATCACACCTCATGCCACACTATTTAAATATGCATTTAAACTGCACAGGTTTCCTGTTGTGGATGGAAGAAGGGCTTCTATGGAAAGTAACCTCACAGGGTGATCTGATCAAAAATTCCTAAGCGGGCAGGTCATGCCCCGGCATATAACTTCTTTAGTAAAAGGCTTAGCTTTCCCTTAAATAAGCCCTGTCCATTGTTGCTTGCGTCTAGGTTAACATACCTTTGAAAAGCCCCCTTTCAGACCCCTCCTTTTAAAGTGTGAGTTGAACTATCCTGCAATCCAATCCACAACTCACTTTCTCCTGTTTTCATGTAATCTTTGCGTTATCGCCTTCATCTCAAATGCATAAAAGAAACTGAAAAACGTATTCTCTGAAGCTTTGGGGATCTTGCTCCCTGGCATGTGTTGTCAGTTTGGCTCAAATAAACTCTTAGAAAAATTCTCTATAGGTTTGGACATTTCTTACCCGGACACTGTTTTTGATACTTTCTGCAGTTCTTAATTATGGTGCTGCAAACGGCGGGGCCACTCCTTAAACTGCCTGGACTACAACAAACTCCGGAGAGGCTTTTACTTCCACATAAACAGTTGTTGGGGCGGGGTGGAGGAAAAGGATGTCTGTGTGTGTACAAGAGTAGCAAGATGGTCAGTCTCAATTAATAAATTACAAGATTATCACGTCTGGGAGCTGTCCTTCAGCGAGGCGGGTCACCCTGCCTATCTTGTAACACCACCTAACACCTGCCATTGACACCTCCCCACAGCCAGATCCCAAGGGTCCTCGTGTGTGCACCCGAAGCCGCGCCCCCAAGTCCTCCGCCGCCACAGAATCCCCCCCTTGCCCCCCCCCTTCCCCCCCCCCCCCCCCCCGCCGAAAGCTGGCGGTTACGCCCCAGGACGCAATGCAGAGCCACTCAGAGCACTAAAAAAAAAAAAAAAAAAAAAAAGTAAAACCACTCGTACCAAGGAGAGGCAGCGTTATTTAGGCAGCCGGCTACTCCCCCAGAGTCTCCACCCTGTCCCCTGGGCCCAGCGCCCAGCTCTCATACGGTGCCGGGCTTCAGGAGCCCCAGCTCCCTCCACGTGTCCTGTCTTCCCAGCAGCCTCCGCAGCTGCCTAGGGAGGAAACCTCCTGACAACTCGCGGTCTACGGACTACGACTCCCAGCAAGCACTGCGGCGCTTCTCTCTCCGCCCCCCCTCCACAGGATACGCAGGCGCTCTGGGTTCCCTTCGCAAGCCGGGCTAGCGACAACTAGATGCAGTTCCTTATGGGATTCGTAGTTTTTCTGGCGCTAGCTGGGCCGTCAGTGAGAGGAACAGGAACTACAAGTCTCGGTGGCCCCAGCGTGACGAGCCCGGTCACGTGTCGGAGGGCCGACCGGGCGTGCGTGCCGCCGTTGATCCGGTGCTGCAGTGAGGAGGTGGTTCTCGCCCGTGTTGTGTGTGTGTGAGTGTGAGTGTGTGAGTGAGTGAGAGAGCGAGTGAGTGAGTGAGTGAGTGAGTGTGTGGGGGGACTTGCTTGTTGTCGGTGACTTCCCCCTCCCCTCCACCCTTACCCCTTCCCTGGCGCTGCTGCAGTGGCCGCTCCCTGGGCCGTAGGAAATGAGCGATAACGATGACATCGAGGTGGAGAGCGACGTGAGTCCCTGGGTTTCTTCCTTCCCTTGGGGGTTGTCAGGCGGGGACAGCAGGGACAGCGGCCTGGCTCTCAGTGGGGCCACCGCGGCGGGGGGGCGAGCAGCCGCCGCCTGCCTCCCACCCTCGGGCTGGGACCGCCTCCGTCGCCCTCCTGGCTCGCTCCCCTGCGGGCTCCCAGCCGAGCGGCCTTCCGAGACGAGGTGGGGAGGAGACGTGCGGCCTCTGGGATCCCCACCTCTCCCGTGGCGGAGGGTGCTGCGGCCTCCCGCTCCCACCTGATCCCGCTCCGGAGACGGGGACAGGGACGGGGTGCGCCCAGGATCCCATTGTCCAGAGTCTGGGGAAGGGGACGCGCTCAGGACCTGCCCCATCATTCTGCGGTCCCCTCCTCCCTTGACCCGCGCGTCCTGGGGCGTGAGGGTGGACGCGGAGGGCTTGGGAGCGCCCTGATGCCCCCGTGGGGTCCGAGGGCAGGAGACAGTGCTCTGACCCCCTCCGGCCTGGGTCGGACCCCGGAAGGAGGGGCGGCGCTCGGGACCCCCCTGTCCCGCCACCGGATCCCGCTGGGAATATGGGGGCGTGGGGGGAAAGAAGGGCGGGGGGGTTCGGGCTGACTCCCCCCACCCGTCGCTTCCTCCGCCGCCGGCATTTTCTTTCTTATTATTGAATGTGAAGTGTAAAAATAACTTCTATATTTTCTATTTTTTTTTCTCTCTTATTCCAGGAAGAGCAACCGAGGTTTCAATCTGCGGTACGTCTCCTACTCTCCATTTCATTTTCATTTCCGTTCAGTTCTAGTCCTTTTTGGGGTCAGAGAGAAAAAAGATCATTCTATTACTTTTAACATTGTAGTAAACTTTCCTGTGAACCGCTAAGGTGAGGTGGAGCCTTGTTCTGGGGTTCTAGGTTGGGGAGGGGTGACAAATCGCATAATTCTAGATTCTCAGGGGGTAAGTTCCAGGGACTGTGGGTGCGAGGAGCTGTGTGCCAGGAAATGAATCCTTCCGTGGTCTGCAGGTGGGGGAATCTAGCTGCCACTCTGTGTTTTGGAAATGAGAAGTACATCATCCTGAAGTCCATTGGTGTGGTATTTCAGGGCAGAGTGGTCAGAAGATTTACATAGTTGTGTAAAACTGAAGCCACATGACAGTCACCGAAGGTCATGTGACTGCTGTGGACCTGTAGAATCTAGTAGAAGGTGGTATGATTCTAATGCAGAAATTGGAAATGTGGAGGAGCCAGTGGTGGAATATGAAAGTGTCGCAGACAGCTTATTGTGGTCTGGAAATATTTGAGTTGAAGGAGTGGTATAAAGGAAACAGAAAAATTGTTGAAGAAAAGTGGCATTGCAGAGGTAGTTTTGCTAAAGGCTGATGGTTGAGACCTGGCAGTGTTATCAATAATCTCTCAGGGATGTTCTCAGAAGATGGTTTTTTGGATATATCTATGAGTATAGCTATAGATATACACTAATCTTATGTCTTTGGAGACAGAGCTGTGGTTATTCCATGAACATATTAGAATAAATAGACAAATCATAATCAGAGAAGGGAAGAGAAATGAGTGTATCACTGTCTAATATTTGACAGCTGGGAACAGTAAGAAGTATATAGAATGGGCGTCGAAAATGCAGATGCCTCTGGGGGACCCAGGCAATAAAATAGTCAAGAATAAAGTAGAGAATAGAGGTAAAGACGAGGGTACTAGAGATCACATGCCTCTTCTAAAAAGGCAGCCACTGAACTCCAGTGGGTGGTTATGTAGGAAGGAGGGCTCATGGCTGCCAGATCTTCCTATTTTTAAAGAAAAATTAGAAATCCTTTTGTATGTTATTTTTCTGATTTTCAAAATGATGGGTGGGACAATCCCTTTGTTTGGAGGGCTTGTTAGAATTTGTAGGATGTCACTTTGATACCTCTGGTCAAAGAATTTAATTACCACAGGGTAAAAGCAAGCCTTCTTGCTTGTACCTTCATTAGAGCAAGCAAGGATTCTGCCATTTGTCCAAGCAGATAGGCATTAGGAAAAATTTTATTTATGGAGAGCTAATATTTCCATAAAATCCAAGGATGCAGTTGTTCCAGGGTTCTTAAAAATTGTCCCTGGCTAATAGTCACTATGAAAGAATTCGTTTTATTTCTCCTTATATTGTCAGATACTTCATGTTTATACATATATTTGAAAATTCAGTTCCTTTTTTTTTCCCCAGTTACTATTAACCTTAATAATGTGAATGTGGAGTTTCATGTTTGGAACTCAGTCTATTTAAAACATTTCTTTCTCCAAGTCTCTGGTCCTAAAGTCTGCCCCAGAGCTTGATCATGGTTGGAGAATAGGGATTGGTTAGGCATCCTTTGCAGAATCATTACTTGAATTGGAATTACATTGGCTTTCCAGTGAGAGAAAAGTTTTCTTTGTGAAATTTTGGCTTGAATTTTGAAAAGCTTCCCGCTTTTCAAAATATTCATCCACATGGGTGTTGATGTAAATTGCTTTGTTAAATTATTAAAATGTTTCCATTCTCCTAGAATGCTAATCTCATTGTTTTGTCTAGATATTTTTAGTTTGATGTTAAGGTGCCTAGGGTTTTTCCCTTTGATTTTGGGAAGTGGGCAAAGGGAGTGGGTTTGACCTTTTGTTTTTAATCTGACACATCTGCTTGCTGAGACTTAAATATTATCTGTCACAGGAGTATCACAAGAGTGTGGAGAGAAGAAACAATAGGCAAATATCAAACAATTATCATAAACGTGGAGGGTAAAAAGGATTTCATTATTTTTCTCTGAAAACATCTGTTTAGTTCTTGACATTTAGTA